AACATTTGAATTATTTGAGCTGCCTGGTAATTGTTTTGAGAAATAACACTCTACGCAATGTTGTTCAACATGTGCTTTACAATCTTAACAGTATGAAACTTTTGTATTGTAATGATGATTTTTGTACTGTCCGTCAAGTATAGCTAATGTTTTGATAGGTATTATTACGCCTAACAAGAACATAAGTTTCGCCAGATATATTCTACTCGTCGTGATTGAATTATGTGCCACATGTCTTTAAAAACTGACCAGGCTTGGCAATTTCTAATCATCAAGGCCAGGAACTACAACAAATATAAGGTACTTCCAGATTGGGAAGCAATGTATCTTAAACTTTTAATGATGAATATTTTGCTAGATGCCTGATCAGGAAGCAATGTTCCCAAAACGGGAAGTGGCTAGTTTTTGGTAAAATCTAAAAACTTTACTTAAGTTCACTTTCAGATTATTTTAATTGTAAACATTTAAAAAGAAAATGACTCGGTAGGATTTTAGATGTATCTTTTCTGAACTAAAATGTAATATTCATATTGAAGTGGATTGAAAATTGTTATGCACCGGCCATTTTTCTTAAACTACGTAAAAAAGGCCTAAAAAACTTCCCGATCGGGAAAGATTTTGACGTTTGTTGCCTGATCGGGAAACCTTGAGGGGAAATCCCCTTGCTTCCCGATCAGGAAGTATGCCCGACTGTTTAGTAAACGAAAGGCACAACTTAAACCTCAGATCAGCACAAAATGCAAAGCTATTAATACCAAAACCTAAAACAGAATTCTTCAGAAAATCATTTGCATACTCTGGACCAAAAATATGGAATGACATACCAGAAAATAATTATAAGAAATTCCGATACTCTTCAGAAATTTCACTCAGCTTAATGGCAGTTTTCACCTTAAACTAGCTGTTGATTTATTCCTGTTGTATAAATTACTTATGTATTTTTATCATTACTACATTACTATTGTTATCGTTTCTTTTACTTTTGTCCCATATTTTCCCAATAGGAAAATTTATGATTCAATGATGCCAAATGATGATTTCCTACTCCAATTAAACTTAAATTTTAATATATATATATTTTTTTTTTTTGGTTATATTTTAAAATAACTCATGAGCCTATATGTATTAGATAATAATATCACTTAAATTATCATTTGAAATTTCATGGTGTATTTATTAGTATAAATATTGTTAGTTTTGCCTATCTGTGCATATTGCACTTTTTCTCTGTTATTGGTGTACAATCATATATCATTTTTTGCTTTATCAATCATTACTTCAATTTAATTGATCTATCTTGATAATATTTGTGTATATATGTTGTGTATATGTTGTGTACATGTAAACTGATTGTAATAATGTTATGCTGAGGCCCACATGGAAGATCGGGAAACTGAATGTGTAAGCCTCGTTAAACAAGAATGTCGAACGACACATATACCCCCCTTTCTATTGACTCACTTAATTGGTAATTTTATTACAGAAACTTGCCAAAAATGGGTACATGGAAGTGTTCAATTATGGAAAAATCAACGGAAACCATTTTGACATTTAAGGCCAATGTGACATTTACCTTTGACCTAATGACCCCTAAATCAATAGAGGTCATCTACTACTTATGACCAATAACTAGGTGAAATATGAAGACTTTGTGATGAATACTTTTCAAGATAATCAGCAGAAACCCTTTTGGCTTTTAAGGCCCCTGTGACCTTGACCTTTGACCTAGTGACTCCAAAATCAATAGGGGTCATCTACTAGTTATGACCAATCACTATGTGAAATATGAAGACTTTGTGATGAATACTTTTCAAGATAATCAGCGGAAACCATTTTGACATTCAAGGCCCCTGTGACTATGACCTTTGACCTAGTGACCCCAGAATCAATAGGGTTCATCTACTAGTTATGACCAATCACTATGTGAAATATGAAGACTTTGTGATGAATACTTTTCAAGATAATCAGCGGAAACCATTTTGACATTTTAAGGTCCCTGTGACCTTGACCTTTGACCTAGTGACCTCAAAATCAATTGGGGTCATCTACTAGTGATGACCAATCACTATGTGAAATATGAACACTTTGTGATACATACTTTTCAAGATAATCAGCGGAACCATTTTGACATTTTAAGGTCCCTGTGACCTTGACCTTTGACCTAGTGACCCCAAAATCAATAGGGGTCATCTACTAGTGATGACCAATCACTATGTGAAATATGAAGACTTTGTGATACATACTTTTCAAGACAATCAGCGGAAACCAATTTTGACATTTTAAGGTCCCTGTGACCTTGACCTTTGACCTAGTGACCCCAAAATCAATAGGGGTCATCTACTAGTGATAACCAATCACTGCGTGAAATATGAAGACTTTGTGATAAATACTTTTCAAGATAATCAGCGGAAACCATTTTGACATTTAAGGTCCCTGTGACCTTGACCTTTGACCTAGTGACTCCAAAATCAATAGGGGTCATCTACTAGTTATGACCAATCACTGTGTGAAATATGAAGACTTTGTGATATATACTTTTCAAGATAATCAGCGGGACCAATTTTGACATTTTAAGGTCCCTGTGACCTTGACCTTTGACATAGTGACCCCAAAATCAATAGGGGTCATCTACTAGTGATGACCAATCACTATGTGAAATATGAAGACTTTGTGATACATACTTTTCAAGATAATCAGCGGAACCATTTTGACATTTAAGGCCCTGTGACCTTGACCTTGACCTAGTGACCCCAAAATCAATAGGGGTCATCTACTAGTGATGATCAATCACCATGTGAAATATGAAGACTTTGTGATACATACTTTTCAAGATAATAAGCGGAAACCATTTTGACATTTAAGGCCCCTGTGACCTTGACCTTTGACTTAGTGACCCCAAAATCAATAGGGGTCATCTACTAGTGATGACCAATCACTATGTGAAATATGAAGACTTTGTGATAAATACTTTTCAAGATAATCAGCGGAAACCATTTTGACATTTAAGGTCCCTGTGACCTTGACCTTTGACCTAGTGACTCCAAAATCAATAGGGGTCATCTACTAGTTATGACCAATCACTGTGTGAAATATGAAGACTTTGTGATATATACTTTTCAAGATAATCAGCGGGACCAATTTTGACATTTTAAGGTCCCTGTGACCTTGACCTTTGACATAGTGACCCCAAAATCAATAGGGGTCATCTACTAGTGATGACCAATCACTATGTGAAATATGAAGACTTTGTGATACATACTTTTCAAGATAATCAGCGGAACCATTTTGACATTTAAGGCCCCTGTGACCTTGACCTTTGACCTAGTGACCCCAAAATCAATAGGGGTCATCTACTAGTGATGACCAATCACTATGTGAAATATGAAGACTTTGTGATACATACTTTTCAAGATAATAAGCGGAAACCATTTTGACATTTAAGGCCCCTGTGACCTTGACCTTTGACTTAGTGACCCCAAAATCAATAGGGGTCATCTACTAGTGATGACCAATCACTATGTGAAATATGAAGACTTTGTGATAAATACTTTTCAAGATAATCAGCGGAAACCATTTTGACATTTAAGGCCCCTGTGACCTTGACCTTTGACCTAGTGACCCCAAAATCAATAGGGGTCATCTACTAGTTATGACCAATCACTGTGTGAAATATGAAGACTTTGTCATACATACTTTTCAAGATAATCAGCGGAAACCATTTTAATATTTAAGGTCCCTGTGACCTTGACCTTTGACCTAGTGACCCCAAAATCAATAGGGGTCATCTACTAGTTATGACCAATCATTATGTGAAATATGAAGACTTTGTGATAAATACTTTTTAAGATAATCAGCAGAAACCATGTGGTCTACCGACGGACAGACCGACGGACCGACATCAGCAAAACAATATACCCCCTCTTCTTCGAAGGGGGGTATAATAAAGTCGTTACTTACTTACTTACTTATATACATGTATGTCTCATAAAATGTAAACTTTCATACTTTCAAATGTTTATATTCATTTTCTTAATGCATTTTTCAATAACTCTACTTTTCTATGTTGTATACATTAAGTTTTCTTTGTTAATGTTTATATGAATGTTTTGTTTGTAACTGTATATATGTACATTTTGAAAGACTGGCTCATAGGGAAGACTGGGCTTGCCTAACTATGTTGCCTTTTTAAATAAAGTCTTAATCATTATTATTATTATCATATTCAGACCTGTATTATGGTTGTTTAGCACATTAAATTGGATATGTCAGTTCAGCATAGGGATATTAAATTTGAAAGTCTGAGCCATAGACTTGAGGCCTGCATGGAAGATTGGGAAAGTATCATTAGCCTCATTAAATAAAGTTGTTACTTACTTACTTACTAGACTGTATTATTTTTTTTTCTTGACACCATTTTGTCCATACCTCAATTTCATTTGATATATGGTTATTATGAGATAATTTTGTCAATCACTTACAGAGAAAGTAGGCCAGTATTGTGTGAAGAAGAGCAAACTTAACCCTCACAACACTATAACCTCCCCCACCCCATAAATATAACACACTACAAAGATGACTCAACAGACCTGGTTTCAGTATTGGTCCACACTATCCCACCTGCCTTCAAAAATACGTCACAATCCAAATTTAAGTCGTACATATATTTTTCCTACACTTGCTATAAAACATGAATAGTCATCTGGAAAGTTAAAAATTAAAATATATTCAAAACTTTCTCACCTTTTTGTTTTGTTAAAGCTAATAAATACCCTGAAAGTGATCTGTGAAAAAAAAATGATTTAAATACCTTGCCATTCTTTACCTAATGTAGGCTCTTCTGCTGTAGGTTACAAATATCAGGGAAGAAATTAGAAATCACTTCTACTGATACTCGGGTATCTAAAGGTATTTACATAATAAATGGAGTTATTAGGAAAAATTACACACAAGAATTGTAAAGTTACCAAAGGAAAAAATATGGGGGAATAGTCGAATCTCACCTATCATTATAAAGCCATGCTAAGAAGTCAGTCGAGTTCCAGTAAACATCTTTAGCTTCCCAGTCTCCATCAGACCAGATCACTTCCGGTTTGTACGTATTAACTATCTCATATAATTCTGGTAACGTTTTAAACTGAAGGATAAAAATGTAAGGATATTCATTTTGTTCATTTAAAATCGTCAGGTTTTATTTAATCTGACTGAAGTTCAGATCTTTTTCTGTTAACATGTAAAGCACAGTACATGTATTATTTGGGAGATGACTTTATACAGAATGTGGAGTTATTTAGCAAACAGATTGAAGAAGCCTTATTTAGGTGCACATTTCCATCAGATGAAAGCGTTATTTAGGTGCAGATTTTAATCAGATGGAAATGTTATTAAGGTACCAATTATCGTCAGGTTGAATTGTTATTTAAGTGCAGTTTTCATTAGATTGAAGCGTTATTTAGGTGCAGATTTCAGATTGAAGCATTATTTAGATGCTGTTTTTAATCAGATTGCAGCATTAATGACACTGATACTGATGTGTGGCAACTTCTCAGCTTTACAGGTAAAGGAAGAGTCCTATTGTATCCTTTGGTGAATAATATAGAGCACAAGTTTCAGCACTTGAACAGAAACAGCAGCCTAATTCAGTGAGACAGCTTGAAAGACTCCTCACACATCCTCCGTTCCAGATACTGTCGTTGAAGTATAAGCATCAGCAAAAACACCGCAAATGAACATGTTAATTTGCTTATAATTGGGCAATTAAAATTCCCAATTTACACTGAAAATTGTTTAGTTACAACTTACAAGCCCATCTTGCTTGTTAGTTGTAATCCTAATTTTTATGCCTATTGACAACAACTCATCAAATTTTAGTAAGGGTCAAGTATAAGATTAAACAAGAGCCCACTTTGAGCTGGGTGATGCTCCCCGAATAGGTTTTGGACACAGGAAAGTACACCTCTTGTAGTTTCAGAGTTATGTCCCTGGAAAAAGTTCAAAGTGCAATAATTCCAAAATTAGGCAAGGCAGAGTTACTGTTCTTGGCACTGCACATCAAATCAATGTGATCTATCAACCTATAAAGTTTCTTGTTGATATCTCTTATGGTTTCCGAGTTATGTCCCGGACAACTTCAAAAAGTAAAAATAAACAAAGGGCAATAACTCCAAAATTAGGCAAGGCAGAGTTATGATTCTTGTGCACTGCACATCTACCCATTGAGATATATCTACCTACAAAGTTTCATGTTGATATCTCTTATAGTTTTACAGCTATGTCCTGGACAAGATTTTTCTAAAAGGGGAGATAATTCAAAAATGCGGCTTAACAGAGTTATGGTTCTTTTGCACTGCACTTTTACTCAATGAGATCTATCTACCTACAATGTTTCATCTTGATATCTCTTATAGTTTTAGAGTTATGTTCCGGACAAAGTTCAGAGTGTTAAAATTAACAAAGGGCAATAACTCCAAAATTAGGACAAAAAGAGTTATTGTTCTTTTAAACTGCACATCTACCCATTGAGATCTATTCACCTACAAAGTTTCATGTTGATATCTCTTATAGTTTTAGAGTATGTCCTGGACAAGATTTTTCTATAAGGGGACATAATTCAAAAAACCGGGCAAAATAGAGTTATGGTTCTTTGACACTGCACTCCCCCTCAATGCCCTTTACCACTGTATGAAGTTTAAACAAATTATCTCCAAGGGTTTTCAAGTTATGCTCCGGACAAGACAACGGACAGACAGACAGGGCGCCGACTATATGCTTCCCCGAAATTTTTCGGGGAGCATAAAAAAACAACCTCCACAGCTTCACCTGACTAGGGGCTGCAGTCAGTATCTATAATACAGACTGTCCCTGAACCCCCTCCCACCCCGAGAAAAAAATAACCTGTATTCTAGTCTAACATGATAAAATCTATACAGAATGCAAGTCAATGCCTTCAATATCTTCATACATCTATCTAGAAAGATGAATAATTCATAAACATTGTCACACAGAACATTTTACCTTGGCTACTGAAGCAAATTCTTGGAAAATCTGAACATCATTACTTATTAATGAAACACATTTAAATTTTTAATCTAAAAATATCCAGAGAAAAAAACAAACAGTCATGGCTTATTGCAATTTGATTCAAAACGTCCATTACAATACCATATCCATTACAAAATGATATTCTGAGCAAATATCTGAATATTTTATCACATATTATGTTAGTAAATTTTATCATGCTTGTTTTGACATTGTCACAACTCTCATAAAGTAAACCTGACCCTGCTCCATTTGTGCAATGGACTTGCTTTGCTCTGAATTTTGGACCAGTCCATTATAAATATAAGGGATTTAAATGTCAAAATTCTAGCAGACGACAGTTACAATTTAAAAGTTAAAGATATTAAAACTGTAATCAGCATGTATGCCAACTACCATAATGATTGGTTCTTTCTCAAATACATGTAATTGTATAACAATGGAAATAACACTCATCTCATGTGACAAAAATGTTCTAAAAGTATGTATTACTAAAACAAGCGAAAGAAGACGAGAGCAATATCTGGGTCATTATGACATAACTGACTTAGTCGATATTTCTTGCATAAAAGATGCACTACATTAACAAAGAGAAAAAAATCAACATGCATTAAAGGCTAAAACCATTGATCATTATTGCACCATTTTTTAAATATGCTTGGCTCTGGGCACCAAGTAAAATTGTTTACTGCAACAAGGATCTGGTAGTTTCGTTGTCAAAGCAATTAACAGTTAAATGACATCTCACTTACACGAAAAAGCATAATGAAATCGGTTTACTTTTAGACGAAAAAAACAAATCATGAAACATAGAATTACGGGATAAGATGTATATTTTTTTTGTTATACAAGAATAGCACAAATGCACCTTTTTATGCAATTAACATCAGCTGAAGACCTTAGACCTGCGGGCTTGGGCCTTAAATGCATCCTTGTGCTTTTGCAGATGTTAATGCACAAGAAAAGGTGCATTAAATATCTATTAATGGCTTCATTAGAGTTTGTTATATATATAGGCAAATCATGTACGCTAGTAACAGATAATCTGAAAAAAAATGTATAATATTATGTATGTAATTACATTAAATAAAATTATAGAAATGTTCAATTCATTCAAATTTAATCATAGCTCAAAGCCTGCAGGAAATATTTGACTACTTTACAAAAGAAAATCATTTTCCACGATCTGTAACACTAGATGAGCACGATGGCAAAATCAAATTAACAATTCTTAACAAAGCTACATTCAACTCTGTACATTTGTGTGTTAAATCAATATATAGCAGACGACAAAACTTGAGATTATTGTTGAACTAGTATTTGATTTTAAATTCCTTAGAGCTTGCTGGGAAAAAGCGAGAGTTTGCGACAAAATGAAATAATGTGACATAAAAGGCAGTATTATACATGTATATAAAATCTGATAAGAGTTAATGCAGACTGCTAAAAGAAATAAAAATATTCCAGTATTTTCTGCATCCCTGATTAACAATAGACTGTCTGGACAAGCAAAGAAAACACAACATTAAAGGAACTCCACTGAGAGTAAAAAAACTTGAAACAAAATTTGAAAATCGTAAACAGATCAAGTGAAGTGCTTAAAATTGAAAAATCTGCGAAAAAAAACAACAAACAAATAACAAATGTACTCAGAATTAAATTGATTATTGATTTATTGTCTTAAATTTTGCCAAATTGATTGAAAAGTGTTGCAACGCTTTAAATTTTTTTGGTCATTTTTCACAATTAGAATAATCATACTGGAAAAATAGAATCAGTGTACACAAGTTATTGTGCTAGATCTACATCAAATGGAACATTTATCTTGAAAAAATATTTCAAGTCCTGTCATGTCAAAATATCTCAGTGAAGTCCCTTTAATATACATGTATACAAGATAAACATAGGTTAACTGGATTATTATGGCAGTTGGGGGAATGATGATATGAGCCGCGTCACGACAAAACCAACATAATGGGTTTGCGACCAGCATGGATCCAGACCAGCCTGCGCATCAGCGCAGTCTGTAACAAGTAGAGAAACTAATAGCGAACAGCATGGATCCTGATCAGACTGCGCGGATGCGCAGGCTGGTCTGGATCCATGCTGGTCGCAAACTCATTATGTTGGTTTTTTAATGACGCAGCTCATATTTATTTTATTTCAAACAGCATCTGGCATTCTTAAAATATATAAATGTTGTTGTTTTTTTAAGTTTTGTCTTTAAAAACAAAATAATTTCAAATTAAATCTCAGTTGTATCTCCTGTTAAACAAATGCATCTAAACTTTTTAGTTTTTTACTAACTTTTAAAGTGAAACAACAACAACAACAACAACATCAAAATAACAACAACATCACCAGTACTATTTCTTATCTTACTAAATGCCTTTACAATAGATTAACAATACCAAAAATGGATGTTACCTTTACAAAATCCTGAGTTTGGAACTTGTTCGCCTTGTCTTGAAGATAAAGTGGGTTGTACCATTCAAACAGTGAATGGTATAGTCCAAAACGCATGCTAGTCTTCTTCCTAATAGAATCTGCCAAGGACCCTGTACAAGAAAAAATAGAATATCTTTTTCATTTCTTTTTCTTTCTTTTTTAAATACATAAAATACAATGTAGCTTATAATATTTACATGCAATAAGCTTGCGGAATAAATTTTGTAAAAATTAAAATTTCCTTTGACCCTTCATGTGCTAGAGGTTTTGTAACCAATTTAGTTGTGCAGTCTGACCTGAGGTTCTATGCAACAGTCACACACTACCTTCCAATGCTTTTGGTTGTGATATTGGCTCCAGACCTAGCACATGGCATCTCTAGAGATGTATCTAGTGAGGACCAGCAATTTTCCACTGACACCCGTGAGTTTGAACCCCAAAAGGGAACTTTTACATTTTTAAATGCAAGTGGAAGATCAGTAATTTCATTAAGTGTCTGCTTTTGTCAGAAATAAATCAAGGAGAAGGGGAGAATGAAAAGTGTGTGTGTGGTGGGTGGGGGAGAAAGGGGTCAAAAAAGGGGGGGGGCAGGTATCTTAAGTTTTATAGTATCTTGCTGCTTATGATGGAATATGAATATGACAAACAACTTATATACATGTAATATTGTTCTGACTTCAAACCAAATAAAAAATCTTCTTGGAATCACCCAGCAATACAACACTTATATTATTCATATTGACATTCAACGGTTGTTAAATTATGACATAATCTTGATAGATTATGTAACAGATGTGTCACAATCCATGTAACACAACATCTGCTGTCTATATGATTCTGGTAATTCCATAACCCAGACTAAACATTGTCTTGATATATTTATAATATTTGTAGTTTTACTTTAAGGTTACCCATTAGAAATGACAATTATGGTCTTTAATTATTGTTTTATCAATCCAGATAAACATGTAATATTAATTTAAATTTTAGCACACATTAGTTACAAAATACTTATATACCAATATAATTGTTTGTAGCTTTATATTGGCTAGGTTAATTTATATAGCTAACCATCATTTATACATGGTCATATAACCACCTCATACATGTACACCTGCAATGGACTTTTCAAAGTATAAAGGGTTACCTGGGCAAGTCAACTTCACAGATATTGAAAGATATGGGTTAATAGAATGATTTATGTTATCAGCTCCAAACAGGCCTTTACCAAGTGCCACCATGGGCCAGATTTTCAAACTCATTCCCAATGGGAAATACACTTATTTTTTCCCCAATTTTCAAAACATTCCCTCATCAAACTGAAATTCCTGATATCTAAACTACAAAATTTGCTGACAGTTATGCAGGTATCTAATACACAGATGTTTCATAAACATTTTTATTTTATAATCAAATTTAAATGTATTTGGTATGCTGATGCATGTACATGTAATCAGTATTTGCATTGGTTAGAATAAGCAATGCCGCACAATTCATAATACTATGCCAAAAGAGCCTGAAAGAAGATTTCAAAAAGTGCAATTAAGCAATTTAACAACATAGAATTTCACAAACTCGGTTTGGTATTTTTTCCCTAAATGGCTACATAAAGGGCCTGCAAAACACTTACCAACAAGATCTCTGTTAGGTCCAACATCCATGGAGTTCCAAGAGAAAGAATATTTAGAGGGCCAGTTTGTAAAACCTTCATGATGTTTGCTTGTTAACACAACATATCTGTAACAACATAAAAGAACATCATATTTAACTTGGTGATAGTAATATTTATTATACAGTCAAACCAGTGTTTAAGACCACATCTGAATAAATACCTGTAAATACCTGTAAACTAGAAATGTGTCCATAGGACACGGATGCCCCCACACACCACTGTTCTGTCAATCTTATGACTCTAGGTCAAATATTTTTTGGACTACATGTGCCACAAGTTGAAAACCAAAAATCAACAAAGGGCCATAATTCTGTTAAATTTGGTCGCAGCAAAAATTCCTTCCTTTACTACCATCTACACATGAAGGTTGTTCATCCCTGGAAGTTTAAGCAAAATCTGCCATCCGGTTTAAGAGGAGTTGCGTTCAGAAAATTTCTGCATAGTATATAGTGAAAAAATCACCAAAGGGCCATAATTCTGTTAAATTTGGTCGCAGCAAAAATTCCTTCCTTAACCACCATCTACACATTAAGGTTGTTCATCCCTGTAAGTTTAAGCAAAATCTGCCATCCGGTTTAAGAGGAGTTGCGTTCACAAAATTTCTACAAAGTATATAGTGAAAAAATCAACAAAGGGCCATAATTCTGTTAAATTTGGTCGCAGCAAAAAATCCTCCCTTTACTAACATCTACACATTAAGGTTGTTCATCCCTGGAAGTTTAAGCAAAATCTGCCATCCGGTTTAAGAGGAGCTGCATTCACAAAATTTCTACTTAGTATATAGAGAAAAAATCAACAAAGGGCCATAATTCTGTTAAATTTGGTCGCAGCAAAAATTCCTCCCTTTACTACCATCTACACATTAAGGTTGTTCATCCCTGTAAGTTTAAGCAAAATCTGCCATCCGGTTTAAGAGGAGTTGCGTTCACAAAATTTCTACATAGTATATAGTGAAAAAATCAACAAAGGGCCATAATTCTGTTAAATTTGGTCGCAGCAAAAATTCCTTCCTTTACTACCATCTACACATTAAGGTTGTTCATCCCTGTAAGTTTAAGCAAAATCTGCCATCCGGTTTAAGAGGAGTTGCGTTCACAAGATTTCGGGACGTACGGACGGACGGACGGCCGGACGTACGGACGGACACTCGGACGGACAAGTGCAACGCTATATGCTCCCACTATGTGGGTGCATAATAAAAGTGACTAGTCCAACTTTGACAAACCTTCATTGATAAAAATACAACCAGGGCCAAATCACCATTTTTGGGGAAGGGGCCTCAGCCTTTTTCTTGGGGAAAATATGCGTGATTTTGGCATACTTTTGAAAAATGGGTCTCAAATTTAACACAAACTTTTAACAAGTTCTTCAAAATAGAAAAGCAAATAGCACTGGGAAATACTAATAAGGCAGTAAAAGACCTTAATTCAACATCATCATTTAATTTTGTTCTAAATTCTATGGGAACTTTCAAAAGACTGGGAAATTTTGAGGACCAAACTGGGGAAAAAAAGAGGCTATTTTGGTTTGGGAAGCAGCCTATATTCGGCCTCTACAAAGAAGGGTTTTTTGGCCCTGACAACAGAGTAAACTACAAATAAAGACCACTTGTCTATAAAGGTCAAGTATTGTCTCTCCTTTGGATGGCTTTGTTCACAGATTTGACTGTATACTTATCTACATTTTTCTACATTGCTGGTCATTGATAAAAGATTATGAATATTGCAAAGCCCAAAGGGTTGTTTTTAAGACCAAAGGTTTTTTCAGCAAAATATTGTTTAAGACAATTATAGTGTTGTACAAAAAAAAACATACAAATTCCCATGTAATTATTTTGGTTTTACATGATTCTAATAATTGTATCTGAGCCCACCCCATGGTCAATGAGGGATTAGGAATTTAAAATGATATGACCTGGATATATGGGATTTGCTGATGGTATGCAATTGTGAATTTACAGTCCTTGCAATTTAATAGTTGTTGAACAGTGGCTAAGGTTAGGAAACGCAAAATGTCGGGTATGTACAAACATGTAATTGATACAGCATGATGCCAGATTGAACAAAATTTGATATATTATAAAATTGCAAAGAAAATATTATCAACTATTGTTCTCACAAGGAGTTTGACAGCAAAGGAGTTTATAAATTAGTTTATAAATAAGAATTTCTTTCAGTTTGATATAGCCCTGGAAGCTATATACAAGCTTATTGAAACCTTCTCATACAATGTTCCTTGAACAAACCATTACTAAGCAATGAGTGTAAAGTTTCTTCCTTGTGAAAACAGCTTGCCCTTGTCACCTAGGGTTTCAACTCACACTGCCAGCAATCCTTAGATTAATAGCTAGTAGTCCAACACATTTATAACCACCCAGACACACAGCCATTTTGTAGATTACATGTAGATATCAAAAGAGTCTCATTATAATTATTCTCGGAGATCTTCTTGAATTATAAAAAGAGCACTGGCACAATTGATCAATATTTCTACATGGCTAGTCCAACTAATTAGACTTGTCAAAGAGACACCGAGATAATTTTGGACGGGCGCTGTCTTTTTCCAAGTCCAACCACGAACTGCATTTTTATGCACGGACGCTTCCCAATTAGAAGTTGTTGGGAGCGAAAACTAGAAAAGTTTCAAAGAAACGGTCTACATTACCTGAAAGAGAATCGTTTTTTATGCAAGGTTCCAAATTATCATACTTCAAAGTCGAACAGAAGTCTAAATATTCCACTTTAATTTTTTTAATCGTTGAAAATTATTGAAAGCGGCCATATTGGAAAACGGTGTCATGGTAAAATTGTAAACACTGGTAAAATCCATGGTGTAACACAGGTATCGGCGGCAATCGATTGTATTTGCCAAGCTTTATTATACAATTTGTTTATGTTTTTTATATGAATTATTGCAGGAATAACTCTTTTATTCACACACAAATATTTCAGCATTAAAAAGAGAATGTGTAAAGGAAATTATGATAACCTTACTTAGAAATTAAATAGTTTATGATGTCCGATGTCAGATCATACTGCATTTAAGTCCGTTTAAATTGTCAAATTAGATATTATTAAGTTGGACTTTTTAACATCTGTGATCATTAGGTGAAATTTCTGAACTATCTTTTTATTTTATAACCCTGCCATGATTTCCCACATACAAAAATACAATGTAATTGTAGGTACATCTTAATGAATTATAATTATACTATACATGATGAAGCAAAGAAGAATTTCAATTTATATTACACTCCATATCAATTTCTAGTTTATTATCTTTAAAAGAAATTGAGGACGGTTGTGTATGGGAAGAAGTTCAAAACAACCAAAAATAACTTTAAAACTCTGAAAAAAAAATCTTAAAATTTCAAACTATAAAATGGAATTTCAGACAGTCCTCAGTAAAATACAATTGTCGCACAGATTTGACGGGGTTTATGATAAAAACACAGCAAGCGGAAATTTAGTGACCGTTATTTAGATGTTGAATAGCATAACAATGTAAGACAGATGGGAGAAATGTTGGAACGACTGTCGCAAAAGGCACCAAAACCTCTGATACCCATTAAAAATTCCATGTTATCTAGTTCCCGTTGAACGGCACCTCGAATGTGTCACATTGAAAGTTCCATGATTACCGCCGTATTATGTACACATCTGTGGATGTTGATTAAAAATTTCAACATTATTATGTTTAAGTGATCAATTCTGTTTAAACCGGCGAAAGGGAGCACTTGAACCTACCAGAGCCGTCTTTGGCACTCCTGTGTATTTATGTTTCTATTTTGCAGTTTCAGGCGTTTTTGGTGGGTTTTTTTGGAGGGTGGATACATGAATGTGGATAAGTTTTTTCTGTTTCTTTACATTTCTTTGCTTGCTTGCCGAACCTTGTATTGGTAATTATTATCTGTTTGTTACGGTTCGGTATACATGTATACAATATGATAAACAAGATGAACAAGGAAAGGCGGCGTTCAATGAACGCAAACCCCACACGACCCAGGAACATGAACCATTGGCAAGGAGCCCAGGAGGATCCTAAATTAAAACGGGAAAGGGCGCAAGGGAGAGCACGGTCAGGCTTATCACTAAAATGTAACTGAGAAGGAAATCAAAGAAAATAAATAAATGAATGATTAATAGGACCACTAAGTTAACGAGCACAGGGGAAGGGGATAGGAAATTCGGGGAGGGGGCGAAATAAAGAAATAAAACTAGGGGCAAAGGGAAGATACTTACCAAAGACGAAAAAACAACAAGGGACACAAACAAAAGTGTCACCAAAACAGTATGAAACAACAAGACATACACCTTATACATTTATAAGTCTCTTAATCTGTTCATTTGAAAACTCTGATCTTCTCAATGACTTTTTTTTTTAATATCCTCTACTTAAAATTTATTTCAATTAAAATATGTGACCCTTCCTTTATAGTTACACAGCATATGGCTGGATCACAATAAAGTTCCTTTTTAGTAAATTAATAAAGTACGTCAAGAAGACATTTAACTTTATCAATAGGTTTAATATGGTATTATATATCGGCAATCGGTGAAAAAGAGCTCTTGAAATATTATTTGTACAAATACTGAATAATTTGAAGTGTATTTCAAATAGTTTCCTTCAATATTTCTTTTACGTTCTTAATTGTCATATAAATATGCATGTATAAATGAAGTCAGTATTTTATCCGAGAGTGACATTTGGCAGTCATTAGCAGTAAACAAGAAGGCAAACCACCAATTGATAAATGTTGAGTATATGTATTAAAATATTTAAAAAATATTAAACAACAGTACTTGTACAGAGCCTATTTGCGACCATTGCATTTTAGGTTAAATACAATGATACTTTTCAATAGTATTTAATAATGCACACATTTATTAAAAAATAATGAATAGATTTATTTCCCCCGATATTTCGTTTAATTTAATCTTCATGCGTAACCCACACTTACCTGCTAGACACACTGGTAGCTACTACCAGCTTTCACGGAATCGATTTTTTACGATGACGTCATAACATGTCCGCCTAAGATAGAGTAGACAGTACAAATTTGAAA